GAAAAATAGAGCAGAAGGCAGCGATGTGCTGCCGTCTAAGCTACAGGTAGTTAGAAACTGATAAAATACGCACACCAGACCTTTTGCAGAAAATTTAGCCTGCCAATTTTCATATGTCTTTACAAAAAGGTCTAATCTATTTATTAGGCAAAAACCTTTGAAGCGTTTGAGGCTTTTAGAAAAAACGATTTTCTAACCGAGCTGCAAGCCGAACTCGGAAAGTTTCTAGTCTTGTTGCATTCGTGCCTTTCCATGGTGCCATGGAAATTTTGTTTACGATTACGTCTATTAACGCCAACAGATGTTACTTGTAGCTGAGTAAAACACTCAAGAATTAAATCCTCTATCGCCGTGTCTATATTATTGAGGGAGTTTCAGGAAACCAGCTGTTTAGACGGGTTCGGACCAGAGGGGGAGGGGGTTAGATGCGTCAACTTTAGGCTTATTAAGTAGGAGTTTAATCTGTTACAATATCTAGACATAAGTTGCGCCAGTAGTGTTACGTGGGTCTTTCGAGCCAGCCGACCTCTTTGTCCGTTATGGGTGATGATTTAACTCCGAGTACGATATTCACATGAAGAAAGTCTATCCTATTATATGATGCAGATATAATGGCGATGATAACTTTATTTGATTGACGATCACTTAACAAAATGAAAATATTATTACAATATTTATGAGCACTTATTGAATCTTAGAAATTTATTACAATCACCTAATAATTGTAGAATAATCGAAGGACAGAAACATATGTATGTAAATGGCTTTTTCCTAAGGGTCAAGCCCAATAGTTTTTTAATCAATAAACTCGTTCGTAGTAATCATTTAGGGATTAAGTTTCCGACTAATGAACTAGAATAATCAAATAAATTTTTTGGTTTATATCGATTGTCCTTGAAAGCGTTTCAATTCTGCAGTTGCGTATTCGTCTGAACATACATACATACCTGTATCTTCAATCGCCATGAATTTATTTATTTATATTTAAGATGTATAGGTATATACCAAATAATAAGCACATATGTGTGTATGTACATACAAAGGCATGTGATAGTAAATTTGGAAAAATGTTTAAAACGGAATTTCGAGCCAATTAATGGATTGTTGGAACTTAGCTTAAATGTGTTTGCAGAACATTTATAAACAATGAAGGTACAAATGTAGACAGACCTGAATTTATATACATTTTTATATATAACAAAAATCTTTGCCAGACAACTTTTTATTACGTAGAAGCAGCAGTCTGCTGTACCCAATTATTTCATCCATTCCACTCTATATTTTTCCACATCAGCAAATTCTGTTTTTAACACAATGACGTCATACCAAATGCCATTTGTACAGACCATTTTCTAATCCTAATCTCAATAATCAGCGCTACCACCAGTTCCAGACTCTTTTTAGTGTCAAAATACTCCAGCTTCATTTCTCAAATGTCGGATCTTCATTCGTACGTCTTCAAAGTGGGAAAAGTCTATGCCAAAAAATTATTTTATTTTGACCAAAAGAAAAAAATTATTGCTCCTTGTTAGCACTATGATTGACGCTGGTTTTGGTCAACAGATACTGATACCAGCGAAATTTTATGGAATAAATATTGCGACGAATTTTAAAGAAGTTACGCATTTAATTATCTGAATAATACTTTTTATTTCATACTAAAACTAAAATATATGTAGTTAAAATAAAGCATGGCCGCAAAAACAATTATGAATAAATAGTTTATTTTTTATTTAATTTTGATTGTCGTATTCCAAATAGTTATTTTTGGAATGAAATAGCTTTTCATAAGACTTATATTGTAGAGATAATTTTAATTCCGCTTGCGTTGTTTTCTGTATATACGTGCAGATAAAACGATAGAGCATAACGAATAATTATGTGTTTATCTTTTGCATTTACCGCACTTTTTATTATCAGCTCCAACTCAATCAACATCTCTCTTTCCTTAAGAAAGAGTATCAAAAATTCCATTGCATATATAATATATTGTAAAATATATATCTATATACAATTCGTTTAATAACGCCACACAACTTTCTCAAAAGATATTTATTTTGAGACTGGGCGCAGCTTCTCTGAGAAGATATTAAAATGTTATAATGGTATAATTAGAAACAAAAATAAATACTTTTTTTATGAGTAAGCTTATAGTATATAATCTCAAACTACTCATCAGCCAAGCTATAATAATAAAACAGTTGCCCTCCTTCCTCCCAACCAACACGAGGGAGCCATCCGCATGACGTACAGAATTTGCCGAGTCATGAAAAACAAGAGTCAAGATTTAAAACTGTTCAGCTACACACAAGCAAATTGATCAGCTGATATATTTAATGAAATAATTAATTATGCTAGCATAGAAAATCATAGTATAGATAGTATATATATTATTATATATATATACAATATTTTTCTTTGCGAAAAGCCATAAGTCTGTCACATAAAATGTCCTGGAATAACAATTGCAATATTGGCGTAAAAGGTGAAATGGTTCACACGTGTATATGTAGCTCAAAGTTTGTTTTACCAGATTTTAAAAATAATGGTCTACACTGTCGTGATAATCGGATGGGCACATTAAAATTTACTTCACCTAAAAGAAGTGAACCGCAAATCGACCAATTTAAAAGTTTTACTAAAAATATCACCTCTAGCATTTCTCTACGGTTACAAAGTGTGGATGGATTCATAAGTTTTAAGCTACTAGTTTGAGGAGAAAGCCGTAGCGAATATATCACAGGAAACCGAACAACAAAAACTATTTGAATCGACTCAATTATAGTGGATGAATGGGCCAATTACGTAAAACTATTTTCCTAATATAAGGGTATTTAAATTCTTTAGACCATCGCTTTATAAAAGCAAGAGCGCCATTCGCACCTTTCGGCACAGTAGAATTAATATATGCATATTAAAAATAAATATAGTGCCAACTGTTCTACCCAAATCAAAAGAGTTACGTGATTCTTCTTCTTCTTTTTTGAATAATATATGACTAAAGGAAAAACGTTAAACAATAGCAAGGATTTTAAATATGAGTACCAAATTCAAGCAAATTAGTAACGTTAGATTAACTTGGCAAAACTCATGCTGGGTACTGGAAATTAATGGAGTAGCTATATATATTATATATATATATGTTTAATTTTCAACCGAATATCTTTTTCCAGCCTTATTAAAAGGTGTTATATTTTATATGTATATTTTTTCATAAGGATGCATTAAAGAGGTTCGTTAAAGGCTGGTACAAGTTGCCAGCGCAATATTTAAAAAATAATGTAATCAAAATCTTTCAAAGAAATCATAAAATATCTTATAATTATGAAAAAAGTTCTTTCGCACCTTAATTAAGTTAACGTACTGGCAACTTAGAGTATTTCATCTAGTCTATATGGAAGATGGTCTTTTATATTTATTACTGAAATGAGAAAATAACTGATTTGGAATTCTTCATCACTGAAACAAAAATGTTTCATGAATTATTTAGTTGGCTGTATACTGATAAATCCGACGGTGGAGGTAAATAAGATAATGTTACGTAAATAACAATCAAGGGAACCTATGACAGAAGGGCATACTACGTGCACAAAAATTTGAGGAACGAGCTAGAAAGAAATGTTTTTGAAGGATGTATTGAACAGTGAAAAATCTCTTACATTAGCTATATTTATTGGATTTTCTACAGATACTTTTATACGAGGGGATTAACAAAGGTTCGGTCAGTTGGTGACTTTCAATTTATTTTTGTCAAATCTAAAAATACCAAATCCTTTCAATTATTATTTTTTGCCTTCCTTTCAAGTTTTAGAACGATCGGATGAAATAAAAACGAGAAACCCCAAGGTAGCTAAGGATAAGTCAGACGGAGTTTCACCACCAACGCCCCGAGAAGGTCGACCAAAACCCTACACTGATGACGTCACTGTAGCTCTGGTGAAGTCCAAAACGGACGAAGACCCGTGATTGTCACAAAAAATGATTGCTAACGAATTAGGCTTTTAAGTTATCATCTGGAATAAACGAAAATTCGATGGGTACCACGAATCTTAAATGAGGCCCAAAAAGAGGCTTGAGTGCATTTTGTTCTACTTTTCCTAAACAAATTCGAAAATCGTCAGTCTAGAAACTATAATAAAATGATTGCTGGTGACGAATCTTGGTTCTATAAGTACAAACCAAACAGCAGTCCATGGTATGGAACCCAACAGGAGCAGACCCGCACGTAAAATCTAAGCAGCAAAAGTAATGATATCAGTATACTTCAACCGATCTAAAATCGTAACTGCTATTCCACTGGAAAAGGTCAGACGGTAACTGGAAAATGGTACACCGAAAAGTGCTTACCAAAAGTTTTCAAAACAGAAAGAAAGAGAATTTGCGCCGCCAAGTTTTACATCTTGGCAACGCGCCATTCCACACTATTAAAATAATTAGTAATTTTATTACGATGTCTGGGATGGAAGAGAAACGTCCAGCACCATATTCCCCGGATATAGCACTTTGTGATTTCTGGTTATTTTTAAGAATTAAAGAACAATATTGAAAAGGAAAGGTCTTTAATAGCAACGAGGAGATAATCAATGCGGTTAATGCTGCACTTGATAAGCTTAAAAAGCAAGTGGATCAATTAGTATTGGCGTAAGAAATACATTGAATGGCGATTATGTAAAGAAGATAGAAAGGACAGAGATTGTCAATAAAAACAAAAAGATTATTTTTTTTTTTTTTTTTTGTTTTTCTGGTCAACACGACATTTTGGTGTTCTGCCTTCTACTCAATTAATTTTTACTTGATTTTGTTTTCGAACATTTTCGGAAAACCGATTCCACATGAAAATATATAACCTCAAACCAGTTCATAATCGTTTTGTGGTAGTAGGGTACTTTTTTCAATAGCATGTTTTGACAGATCACGTGTGAGTCGTGTCAAGTTGTCATGTTATTTTCATTCAGTATTATTTGACATTTAATCATGGAAAGACTTACGCCTGAATAACATTTAAAAATCGTTTAACTGCGATTCGCGCGCTCTGGATGTTTAACGGAATGGCATTATCAAGAAAAATGTAGCCCAGGAATGCTAACCAATTATTGTTGGAGTGTTAATAATATTTACGAAAGTCGCAAGTATTTATTAAAGGTAAGTTAAGCGATAAAATTTTTAGATTTTTCATAAAATAGATGTTTTAATGTCACAATAAAACCTGATGTGTACATATTGTTCACTCATACATTAATAGCTGTATCAGAGCTTCCCTGCCAGACTGCGACGGCATTTAGGAAAACAGCCTTTCCTATGTTTTAAGATATTGGTATTGTCAGCATAACCCTCCGCACAAAGGCTTTATTAGAAGCCTGAAACAGTTATTACACAGGTTGCTTTTTGCCTAAATCAAGTTAAAGACAAGTTTTTCTTTCAGAAAGAAGATCTGGGAACGATTCTTATTCTTCTTATTCTTATTCATGGGCTTATTTACTTGAAAGTTGTCTAATTTTACACAGAGAACACCATTTTTTCAGGGAAGGGTCCCTGATACTGATCTTTTTGAGACAATAATTTGAAGGGTCGATTTTCTTGAATTTTGCACGGAGGTCTGATTTGGATAGACAAACGAAGACAAATTGGACAGATTTTTGAGTTAGTAGACCAATTTTCAGCAGATGTTTACTGATATGAATTGAGATAAAAACAGCGTATGATTAATGACGTTTAGAGTTGTGAATGATTTAAGAATATTTATATTCAACAATTATTACGTAAATTATTCATATGCGGCTCTCATTGAACAAACAATATTTTATACATTTGGGAGCGTGTTTGAATATTTCTGTGCATTTCATTGTTAGTTAAGTTAATAATACATTTTTTTATAATTGGCGCTTTATAACCGTTGAAGCGATTTCCGGCCGATCTGCTCTTCAAATTTGTGGCATGAGTCTTGATGTATTTCCAACAAATGGAGGACGTAGAATTCATTCTAAGCCCTCTCCAATCGGTCGATGGATTTTTATGAGAAGTTTTTATTTCTGCGGCCTTGACATTCCCTGCAGAGGAACGAGTGCAGTTAGACAAATTAATTTGTGGATATTGGTCGAACCAGGACTCGAACTCTGGGCCATCAAGTTAAATTCATTTTGCTGAATTTATGGCAGTAGGTTATTCAAAAAGTTTACTTGTTAAATAAATTAAAGTAAACTAGAAAAACTGTTAAGCACTGTACAACAGATTTATCGAGTGTAGGTAGAAATTGTTACACTAGCCAGTTTCTCGTGAGTGGAATTAAAACCGAATTCGATTTCAACAAGTCTTGAATGCCGATTTTTTCACTTCAAATTTTCCTAAATGAAATCAACCAATATCATCTTATTATCAATCCATGAAAGTTTTGCTTAAAATATCAAAATAAAAGTTTTCCAAAACAATATTTTTATTAATGCAATTCATTTATTACTAAACCTGCTTAAAACCACTTAATTATATAAATCTTAAAACTGAATTAAAAATGTGTTAGCTCAAGTTAATTTAGAGTCCTTTTCAAAATATGGCGCTCTTATTTGAAGGCGGGATTAAGTTTGATCAACAGGATACCAAAGTCTTTATGTATTTTTATGAATTTCCAATGGAGCACTAGTTATTACACTTAGAATTTCGGATTAGTAGCGCATGTCATACCCAATAATTCAATACCATACCTCCAAATTGGCTTTATAATTGTTTTGTGAATGAATACTTTGTAATCTGGTTTTAAGCCAGAGTTATTGTAAAATGCAAATTAAGCGAGCTACTTTTAACTTCATTTTCCAGATAGTCATCCATCTAAGTGTATGCCGAGATATATTAAATCTCCTCGGCATCCCCAAACGGGTTAAGGAAGGTTCAACTCCTCAACGAAAAACTCAGAACCATATATGGGAGGATTCATCAGAAACTCGATATAAGGCAACTATGGAGCCAAACGTACCGCCACTGCGGAAGCCATTGGTTTTTGACAGTGCCGTTAAAAGAGTTGGTACGATGAGTAATGTCGAACTACATTGGTGGGTAGGATAGATACCGAGAGCTGAAGAGAAACAACACGCAATTGCAGACAAAAAAGAACATTTTTTCCAAAAATTCTACGAAGCGATACGGCAACAGAAGGTTTCAAGATCGGAGCAAGAGGTGATCTATGAAAAGATTCGAAAAGCGATTTCCCGTTTAAAAAACAACAAAGCGGCCCTACCAACAGAGCTTTTCCAACATAGCGGGAAAGAGCTGACAAGATACATGCTTTAGCGTCTTTACAGAATATGGTCGCACGAAAGCATACCCCACGGTTGAAATGTATGTGTGCTCTGCCCAATCCATAAAAAAGAGGGTCCCATGGTCTACGCTAATTACAGTGGTATTATATATAAATATTGTTGCGAAAATGCGAGGCAAATGTTAGATGAAAGAGAGAAGCCGATAACTAGTACGTTCTAGAAACGATAAAACAAGAACCTTCCATAGCGAACAATTCGATGCTTCTACGCTTTCNAATTCGATCCGTTTTTAAAACGAATCATAACTGCAGATGAAAAATGGATTGTTTACAACAACTTTAGTCGAAAACGATCATGGTCCAAGCATGGTGAACCAGCTCAAACCACTTCAAAGGCTGATATCCACCAAAAGAAGGTTATGCTGTCTGTTTGGTGGGATTGGAAGAGTGTCGTATATTTTGAGCTGCTTCCAAGGAACCAAACGATTAATTCGGATGTTTACTGTCAACAATTGGACAAATTGAATACAGCCATCAAGGAGAAGCGACCAGAATTGGTCAATCGTAAAGGTGTTATATTCCACCAGGACAACGCTAGACCGCACACATCTTTGGTCACTCGCCAAAAACTGAGTGAGCTTGGCTGGGAACTTTTGATGCATCCACCATATAGCCCTGACTTTGCACCATCAGACTACCATTTATTTCGATCTTTGCAGAACTCCTTAATTGGTAAAACTTTCTGCAATGATGAGGCTATAAAATCGCACTTGGTTCAGTTTTTTGCAGATAAAGGCCAGAAGTTCTATGAGCGTGAAATACTAAATTTGCCAGCGAAGTATTCCAACCGAATACAGCAAGGAATAATTTTACCATTTTTGTTTCACTACGGGACTAGAACTATTTCCGACATGGGTATGACCTCATCTGAGACTTTTACATAGCCACTAAATGTTGTTTTCAATTCCTTATCTCAACTTTTTAATGCCATGTTTGAACTTTGCAATTTCCCTAATGTATGGAAAGTCGCATATGATAGTCATGGTAGCCAAACCGGGAAAAGATGAAACGCTGCCCTCCTCATATCGGCCGATTAGCTTGTTACCGTTCTTTCCAAACTTTTTGAAAAAAAGCTGCTATCCGAGATATCTCCCTTTCTCCACGAAAACGACATTATACCAAATAGTCAATTGGGTTTTCGCGAAAAACATGGTACAATAGAACAAGTTCATCGCATTGCCAATGAGATCAGGAAGGCATTTGAGTTGAGATTGTATTGCTCAGCAAAATTTCTTGATATGGTTCAAGCATTCAATAAAGTATAGCATGAAGGACTTATATACAAAATTGAAAATAAAATGTTCATCACATCTTCATACCACACCTTACTAACAGAAGGTTTACAGTTAAGTAGAGAAATTTATCTCAGAGAAGTGTCCGATTATGGTCGGTGTTCTTCAATTCAGCGTTTCGTGACCAATACTGTATGTGTTATTTACTGCAGACATCCCAACTCGCGCAAATATTTTAACTTCAACATTCGCGGACAATATTGTCGGAGCAAATGCCGAATAAAGGCCTCAAACAACGTTTAAAACCTTAGAAGTTGGCTGTCAAACCGGCGCATAAAAGTGAACGAACGAAAGTGTACGAATGTCACATTCACTTTAAAGAGGGAAACATGCCCAATACTGAAACTAAACAATGTAATGATCGCTCAAGTAAGCGAAGTTAACTACCTCTGGATCAACCTGGAAGCCTGCCTGCGCAACTTACTTACTTACTTACTTTACTGGCAGAGACACCGCTTACGCGATTATAGCCGATTTACAACAATGCGCCATTCGTTTCTGCTTTTTGCCAATTGGAAATGCCAAGTACAGCTCTCTACCTGGTCTTTCCAACGGAGCGGAGCTCTTCCACCAGCGGGTACTGCATCGAAAACTTTCAAGGGTGGAGTATTCGCATCCATACGGATCACATGACCTACCCAGCGTAGACACTGTTTCTTGATTCACTGAACTATGACAATGTCGCTGTATAACTCGTACAGCTCATCTTTCCATCGTCTGCGGTATTTGCCGTTGCAAACGCGCAAAGGACCATAAATTTTACGCAAAATATTTCTCTCGAAAACTCCTAGCGCCGTCTCATCAGATGGTGTCATCGTCCATGCTTCCGCACCATATATCAGGACGGGAACGATGAGGGACTTGTAGAGTTTGGTTTTCGTTCGTTGGGAGAGGCCTTTACTTTTCAATTGCCTACTCAGTCCAAAGTAGCATCTATTGGCAAGAGTGATTATGCGCTAGATGTCAATGCTGACGTTATTATTGGTGTTAATGCTGGTTCCTAGACAGACGAAACTATATACGACTTCAAAGTTATGACAGTCAACAGTGACATGGGAGCCAAGTCGCGAATGCAGCTCATGTTATTCTCTCCAGTATAAAACTGAAGAAATCACATGACAATGATTCACCCTGTCTGAAGCCTCGTTTGGTATCGAACGGCTCGGAGAGGTCCTTCCCAATTCTGACCGCGCTTCTGGTGTTGTCTAGCGTCAGCTTACACAGCCTTTAAAGTTTTGCGGGGATACCAATTTCAGACATAGCGGTATAAAGGCAGCTCCTTTTCGTGCTGTCGAAGGCGGCTTTAAAATCGACGAAGAGGTGGTGGGTGTCGATCCTCTTTCCACGGGTCTTTTCAAAGATTTGTCGCGTGGCGCATATCTGGTTAATGGTTGACTTACCAGATCTGAGACCACTCTGATATGGTTATCATCAGTTTGTTGACGGTGGGCTTCAGTCTTACACACAATACGCTCGGCAGGACCTTATAGGCGATACTAAGGAGGCTTATTCCACGGTAATTGGCGCAGACTGTGGGATCCCCTTTTTATGGATTGGACAGAGGACACTTAAAATTCAATCGTCGGGCATGCTTTCGTCCGACCATATTCTGCAAAGTAGCTGATGCATGCACCTTGTCAGCTCTTCACCGCCATGTTTTAATAGTTCTGCCGGTAGGCAGTCAGCTCCCGCCGCTTTGTTGTTTTTTAAGCGGGCGATTGCTATTCGAACCTTTTCGTGGTCAAGTAATGGAACGTCTTTTCCATCGTCATCAACTGGAGTTTCGGGTTCACCATCTTCGGATTCATCGGTGGCTAGATCACCTTTTTGTGTCCTACAAGAGGCTGCTCCGGTCTTGAATCCTTCCGTAAGTCGTCGTATCATTTCATAGAATTTTGGAACGTGACCTTTGTCGGACAGCTTTTCAAGCTCTTCATACTCACGCATCTGGGCCTCTTTCTTTTTTTGTCTGCAGATGTGTCTTTCTTCCCTCTTCAACTCTCGGTATCTACCCCATCCCGGACGTGTTGTAGTCGATCGTAAAGTCGCGAAGTAAGCAGTCTCTTTTCTCTCCACTGCGACACGGCAGTCCTCATCGTACCAGCGGTTTTTGCGACCTTTACGAAATCCAATAGTCTCGTTTGCAGCTGTACGTAGGGAGCTTGAAATGCCATCCCACAGTTCTCTTATACCGAGTTGCTGATGAGTGGTCTCAGAGAGCAAGAGTGCAAGTCGAGTAGAAAATCGTTTCAGAGTCTCTTGTGATTGCAGCTTTTCAACGGCGAACTTTCCTTGTGTTTGTTGACGGGCGTTCTTCGATACACACAGAGGCGCATGCGTATCTTTGCTGCAACGAAATAGTCATCCGAGTCGATGTTGGGTCCTCAGAATGTACGCACGTCAAGAACATTGGAGAAATGTCTTCCGTCTATCACATTATGATCGATCTAAAACACAAAGCAGTCGTTCAATTCTGGCTCATATGGAACGGTCTCCATTTGATGACATCGACGGCACAGTCATCTGGTATGAATGTTATTAAAAATTTGTTAAGCGAAAACATTCGAAGCCACAAAATTTCGAACAAAGAGGAATTGAAAAAGGCGCTACTCGAGGAATGGCAGAAAATTACCCCAGAAACCACACAAAAGTTGGTCCAATCAATGCCAACTAGGGTCCAGGCTCTTATTAAGGCGAAAGGCTTTCACACTAAATATTATAATTAAAGATTGAAAGTGATGTGTTTATGTTATTTTAGAATGAATTGAACTGTATCAAATAAGCTGTGACCTGAAATTTAGCAGTATTTTTAATTTTATATACACATATTTGAAAAAAAAAAATATATTTAAATAAATGACTTACATCACATATAATATGTATATGAAACGCCCCTCGCTTTTGCAACGACTACCACAAAGCAAAACGTCAATAGTTGCTAACAAATCATTTGCTTTTGTTTCGAAAGAAATTCGCTTCAGCAGAACAGCAGGAAAAGGTCGTTGTTCGTAATAAATTACCCAAAGTTCCTCTACATATTCAAAAAAGTAAATTTTATATCACAGTGATACTGTTCACATTCAATTAAGTCGACTGTGCTCGACTTTTATACTGGAACTAGCCAAATGTTTTTTACTTTTGCAACTTGTGGCTCATGGCATATCTCCGATACGTACAAATGTAAAAGTCTAATTCGTACAGACGTTCAGACAATTATTTTTCAAAGTCCAACTCCAACACAGTTACTTACTCAGATATGGAACTTGTATGGGAGCCAGTGCCCCAAAGGAATGTATCTTACTATGGGAGCTATGCCCAAAATCCGTGTCCAAATAAACAATTGTACTGAAACCATTGTATGTATAGGTTCCAAGCTAAGGAACTTGAACCCTCTTTTCTGTATAAGCTCACATTCATAGCTATATTCCCGTTTTAAGCGCAGGATTACATGCTCAATTTCGATTACCTCACCTTTTACAGGAAAGTAGAATTTTGGGAAAATGGTGTTGGCAATAAAATAAACAAACAAACAATAAAAACCTTATTGATTTAGTATGTAATTAAGATTTTTTGGAACAAAAACGTTTTCTACAAATTTCTTCACAAGACGGACATCCAGGTTAGGTTAGCCCATTCGGTAGTAATTGCAGCCTTAAGCTCATCTGTCTCGTAAATTGACGATACATTCTCTACGGGAGTTAAGATCAGAAAGCAGGCTGGCCAGTCCTTAGTTTCTTTGGGCCAAACAATCAAAAATCATGGTTACATGAATGCCAGTGTTACCCTGTTGGGAAAATAGCGGCATCTCCCTGTGTGCCGTGGCAAAGGAAAGAAACTTTTTCGAGGTGATATGAACTGTAATTCGAGCATAGATGTAAAAGTTCCACACGCTATTACAGAGCCTCCTACGAAACGGCGTTTAGAAAAGAAAAGAAAGCTCTTTTACATGTCTCTCCAATAGAACTGAAGAACATCTGGGTCATCAAGACACCATTTCTTTGTCCGAGAAAATAACCTTTTAAACAAATAGACTCGAGCATATTAACTTTAGCTTCAACAAAAATGACTTACTGTGCCCCAGTTGGTATATGTGCTCCTCTGCCATTCAAGATTCAAATGCTTGCAGCATTGGTTCACCAAATTATGGTTTTTGCAATTTTTTCTACACAGCTACGACTAAGTTAGTTCAAGATCTAGTAGAGTTCGAGCTTATTTTGTTAATATTTCGCTGATCTCGGTGAGGAAGTTATACCTTTCTCCCGACTAGCCTTAGAACATTATAGTTCATTGGACTCTGTAAGAAATTTACACTACGCATCGACTGTTTGGAATTTTTTCTTGTATCTTGAGAAATATGTCGAAATTTTTCCATGTTCTTCAGTTGATAATATTTAATATATTATGCAAGAAAAGTATAACGATTATAAACGAAAAGTAAGCTTTGACGCCAGTAACGGTGGGTCAGAATCAGAGAAATGCAATATTGCATTTAATGATAAAAAAGTAAAGCCAGTTTTTGTCAACATTTTAAATGATGTTCACAATGGAATTATGGAAATGGTGTATAAATAAAATGTTAAATTATAATTTTAGAAACTCCATGCGTCCATGCCCCGACGGAAGGTAAGGACGATGTGACTAAAGATGCTTTCTATGTGAGCCTAGAACAAACGTTTAAACGCGATTTAACGCCAAGCTGGGCAAAACACGACAGTCGGCAAATTCAAGCTTCATAACGAAAAATTCTCGAGCGTGCTGCGGCTGATATTATACAATAATATTTTACTCATGGTTGCTTTATTTATAAAAGTCAATCTTAACATTACTCTTTTATATTCTCTCATAGACATTCAAAAACGCCTAGGAATTCTTATGTCTACAATTACAGTTTTACACAAATTATAATTACATAATTTATCTTACAAATAAGAGCTAATATATTTTGAGCATATACATATATACGAGCATGAAACTCATATCCTACAAGACTACGAGTATATATTGTTTTACAGTCCGAACTAACTATTTATTAATTTTCATATATGCATGTATTTTATATTTCAAGTACATACAATTTCTCATAGTAGTTTTCGTTGAGCAGTCACTATAAATTCAATGAGACACACACTTACATGATGCATGCATGTATATGTACGAGTGGTTATGCCATCCCAAATGGATTCTTAACAAACGAAGGATTTGGCACCGCATTTATTGTTTGTTGCTCATATGCAAAAGTTTGACACTAATTGTCTTTCACTTGCTTATAATATTTGGCCCTACATATAGGTTCGTTTAAGTCACGAAGTCACCAGTGCAACCAAGTATCAATATTCGATTACAAATTTTTAAATAAATAACATTATGTATAACAAAAATATAAATGAAAATCATAGGTAATTTGAATGTTTAAAAACTTACACAAAAATACATATAATAACTGTAAGTATTATATATGACACTCTTAAGTAATTGAAATACAGGAGATTCATTGTGTAAACAAATTGTCTTTGGAAATAAAAGGATATACATATGTAATTTTCAAAATAAAGCTAAGATATACCAGAATATGTATATGTATAATATCATAATACAACTTATATGAAACGTAGAAAATTCTACTTTTTGTAAATATCCGCACATTTGGACGAAAATCGGTTTTATGTTACAACAGGTGAACCTTACAAAAAAATTTTACACTTATAAATGATTTTACACTGCCACAGTAATTTATTTAAAAAAAAAAGAATAATTTATTTATAAAATTGTTAATCACACCGAAAGAGATATGCGACAGCAAATAAGAAATAGTTAGTTGTGCAGCAACGAATCCTGTAAAATGCTGTAAAAAATCGTATAAAGCAAAGGCAAGCCAAGCTATTCCTAATTATCCCTTTTTCCGGCCGCGGCGAAGAATTTATCAGTAATGTTCTGCTTTCTAAAAAATTCACTTCAACATCATTTTTTTAACATAATATTGTCATATTCTATAACCAATTCCATACAAAAATATGTAATTTCAAAGTCACTTCCAAATCGATAAATGGCTTTATACAACAAGCACGCATATGCCTAGTACAATAACATTTCTAACAACAAATATGTATATTAAATACTAAAAAGAAAACTCTAATGATTAGCGTTATACATGTGAATACAGCATAGTATCCTAACGCTGAACAACTAGAGAACAAATTTAACGATGATGCACTCCGCCTACCATGCTCTTATATGCGCTTCAAGTCCTCGATTGATCTATCAGAATCTATCTACCGAAATATAGTATTTCCTTGCATCAATTAAATGACCTTGTTGAAATTTATTGCCTTTACCTGAACCCTAAATAAGACTACAAAAAAAAAACATATCTCATTTTACGTCATTTAAGTCCCATGGTTTCGAGTGGAAGCTTTCTTTGTTTGTTAATATTTTCTTCTTCAAATTCAGAAAATGTTGTATATTACTTTACTTTATAACCAACCAAAATAGTAAAAAAGTTTAGTTGTCTAATTTCATTTTACAAATTCACACACTTTTACCTATGTATTTTATGAGTGCAATTTAGTGAAATGGAAGAAAGAACAAGCAATCATATGATATGACTAAAACAGTTGTTAGAGAAAAATTTTCAACCGCGTAGAAATAAATTAGAAACTTCCAAACTGAGACCCCCTATTTTTTTGTGCCTAAAAATTAAGTTCAACAAAAACATTCCCTCAGCACTAATTGCAAGAAAAAAAGAAGAAAAAATAGTTTTTTATATACACATATGAACACTCACATGTACATATGTATAGAAATTTCACCATTTTTATCTTCAAATCGGTCAAAACGACTTTCAATGGAAAATTACAGTTTCCGGAAAGTGTTAATAAAACATCAAGCCAAGTGATGTAAACTGAGAATTTTTAAACTTATAGAATAATTATTACATTTAGTTCAAAATCGAGTAATTATTTTAACGTAGGCTTAAAGCATGTGAATGTAATTAATTAATCAATAAGTCACTTACAATAGATTTATTAGCCAAGATGCTATTTTAAAAGTTTACATTTAACACGGGTGCACTGGTATTGGTCGCGACTGTTAAACATTTTTGGGAGTCCGATAATTTTTTAGTTAATACAAGTATGTATCAACAATACATATACAAAAGTAGTTATACTTATACTTAATCATTTCTAATACTATAATCTCTTAATTTTCCAAATAAAAGGCATCTCAACATATCAATACAGCTTTTCAAAGCTTATTCACACCCAAAGAGGGCTAATAGTGTCTGTTATAATTTGCTTTATATCGTCTCTGTCCATATCACTGAACACAATTAATAATTCAACAATTGTACGCGAAGAATTTTTTGCTCGACATTCCCACAGGTTGAGAATCTGTTCGGTTGGCGAAGGCTTTGTAGCAAAATACGCAATATAATGATCTGTTCCAAGTTTTTTAGCTAACAAACGCCAATCTTTTTCATCCTGTCTTGGAGGATCAAGTGCAGCGCAAATCAAGTGTTTACAAGTACGCGGTAAATAAGCGCCACTCAAGCTATTCGTCTCATTTACATAACTACTATCACGATCAATAGAAACAATTGCTTGCTGATTTGGAATATCGACTTGAGTTAAGTGTTCATTGGAAATAACAAACGAGTGTACTTCTGATTCCATATTTTCAAAACCGGTCTGCTCAAAATCCACATCGAATATCAACCGTGAGTTCACCGATAGTTTTATACTAAACTCGCAATGTAAAATTGAGTTATTATTAAGAATATGGTTGTATGGAATCACTTGTTCATATGCAGTTTGCTCTTTGACGTCCCATGAGCTTGATCCTGTGTCATGAACGCGTATAACTAAATCACAAGCATTTAAGTGGAAAGCAAAATATTCACTTTCGCCCATTAAAGTACCACCAAGTTTTGACTCAATTGTTGTACAAATATCTTTGCTATTAGGAAAATCTTTTACAACATATATACGAAGACTGCAGTTTGAGCTACTCGGTGCTAGCTGACTAAAAGCAATAAGTCGCATTTTAATAGAAGCAAGGTAGTTTGTGTGTGCTTTCGGTTCAGCGACGACTGCGAAACGCCCTAATTGTTCTGTCATTATGTACAGATGAGTTTCTTCTAAATGAACAAAAACAGGTGTGTTTATAGTTTCTTGGCCAACAGAAATGACTTTCCGCCAGTTGGAGTTAATATCGTAGTGATCGCCATCTGCTTGGTATATATTCACATTCCATAAGCGGGGATCAACTAGACAGTGTGGTAATTTTATTATAACAGGCTTTTGGAAACTGTAATTTCGCGGTGAACAATATACAATTGTGCTACATACGAATAAGGTTTCAGTGCATGGTATGGATATTCGAGCGCTTTCGTCACTTAATAAAATCAACGACATGTTTTTCTTCTGATTTTTACCGATCGCGAATTCTGGAACATGTAGCATTATTTCACCTCTGTACAGACTTAGGCTGCCTCCACAATTATTTAAAATTTCGCTTACTATATTTTTCGATGCAGAAGCTACGGACATATTTCCTTTCATATCGTAGGTAGAATTCGCTGAAATAAAAATAAAACGTTTGTCATAATATTGTTAAAAAGCATAGTTACGAGCATAACAAATTTTTATATATAGTATAGTCTAAAATGCTACACCAAAATTAACCAATGTCCACCCCTCCGAGTGTATTTCGGACATGAAACAAAGCTCCTCATAAAATAACATCAGCCGTTCGGAGGCGGCTTAGTATAAACTGTAGGTCCCTCCATTTGTTGGGAAAACAAAAAGGCACAAATTGGAGGAGGAGCTCAGCCGAAAAACTGCTTCAGCGGTTAAAAAGTGCCAATTTACTAGGTTCTTGCTTTTTGGTTATTTGGATTTGACTTCTTAATAATATCTTAATTGTAGATTACAGTGTTAAAATTTAACTTACATATCTCAAATATCTCGTCTGAAAAAGTTATCGCATCGCCGATGCTAAGTTTAATAAATCCCTTAAGTTAATTTGTGTTATTTACATTACTATAACTTTTTCGTTATTTTCGTAACAAAATATGTCATGATTATATGAGAAATTCAACTGAAAAGTGAGGCAGAACGCCACGTGTGAATAATTAATATTTTTTATTTTTGAAAATTATTTCAAATATGGATGACGTGGCTCTAACGCCACGAAGAAGGTAAATTTAGACGAAACCGAGCGTTTTAAATGTAAATCTTATTATTCTAGATGACCGGGTAACAAACAACGCAAACAGCCCAAATTTGTTTAAAATTTTCTATCTGTTGAACAATGCAAATAGCAGAAGAAAAATAAAAAATACCAGTACCAATAAAAAAACTTTGACGAAGTTTGCGTCCTAATAAATATACGCGATCGTAAGGTTTAAAGCTGAAAAATATCACCATAGGATTTTCAAATTTCTTATCAAAAGTAATTGTCATCTTTTAGATAATTTCTCCATACTTCCATAACAAACAAAGCAAGGAATTTCCAAGAGTTAAAACAGAAAGTGGAATACTTAAATATAGCATAATAGAAGCATTTAACTCAAGCTGAAATTTATCAAGAAGAGTAGGTAAGAAGAGACTTGAATAAAGCAAAAAGAAGCGGTAGCTTGGAGAACTTCTGCGAGAGTATATCCTCTATACCCAGCAGCCAGAATACGCAAAGCATTAGCTAAAGATACAGTAGAAATAAAATGATACTAAAGCTAGAAGATAATCATACACCAATAATGAAAAGGAACGAGTAATGGATGGTCCTTCTCAGAACACACTTTCCAGACTCAACTACAGAAATTACAACAAGCAATGGGGAAAACCCAAGCCCAGACAAAGATACCTGACTCTTAGCTAAATAGATAATCAGCTATAATTCGCTAGAGTAGGCAACTACTCCTTTGGGAAATTCAAATCACCAGGAATAGATGGTCATGAGAGAAAGCCTTACATTGGCATAAATACCAAAGTCATGGAGAAGAGCCTTAGTGAAATTTATTCCCAAACCCGAAAAAAGATTACACAGTAGCTAAATCTTTCAGGCTGCTAAGTTTAACATCCTTCAACCGATAACCACATAAGAACAACTAATAGGAACAAGGAATACCCCTCTACACTTCGCACAGCATGGGAAGATCAACCAATACAACATTGTATCAATTATCAGAAATTCTAAAGGACGCAATCGACAACAAAAAGGTCACTATATCACAATATGCGCTTTCTTAGATATTGAAGGAGTTTCGACAATACCTCTCATAGAAGAACCGATTCGAAATTGGATCGGCTTCATACTTAACAACAAGCAGATAGTTGCAGACAAAGAAACATTCCATTTGAAGACCACAAATGGGTGCCCCCAAGGAGAAGTACCATCGCCACTCCTATGGAGCTTGGTAGTAGATGATCTGCTAAAGCTCCTTACAGACAATAGCATAAAATGTCAAGGATAAACCATTGTAATAATAGCAGTGAGCAAAAAGATACATGAGAGTATATGATAAGTAAAGCGACAAGGTCAATAATGGTATGCAAAAGATTAACAGGGAAAACATGGGGGTGCACCCCCAAAAACTGCACTGGTTGTATACCATAATAATAAAACCGTACTCCCTTGTGTGGTACACAGATGGTTCCAAGACTACCGATGGGATAGGCGCGGGGGTCACTGGACCCAGAATTAAGGTATCGATTCCTATGGGGAAATACCCAAGTATATTCCAGGCAGAAGTGTTTGCCAATACAATATGTGCAGAGCTCATTCTCAAAAGGAAAATGGTTGACCACCATATAGTAATTTGCAGCGATAGCCAAGCCCCGTTGAAAGCAATATCGTCATGTATAATTAAATCATATAGGGTATGGGAATGTGTTAAGAACCTTAATAAATTAGTGTGTGAACGAAAAAAAGGTCAGCTCTACTGGACTTGAGCCATTCTTTCCCTTAAGCCCCCACTCAATTAGAGAAGAGATAAGAAGGAAGGGAACGTGTATAAAAAACAGCTATTGGTGTTGTAGCGACGAAATAAGCCAATCAAAGGAACTTATAAACGGCTACAATACCAAAAGATTTAATAATATAATATTATTGAGTAAGAATAATTTCAGAATACTATTACGATTTCTTACAGGACATTGCACACTGCGTAAGCCCATGTACAGGCTTGGAGTATGCTCCGATGAAATTTGTCGGTTCTGTGAGCTACTACCAGAAACATCGGTGCACTTTATATTTGAATGCGGAGCTGTCGCAAGAAGACACAAAACCAAGGAGTCATTCAGCCGCAGGAGAACTACATTAAATCAATCATCCCCTCTAGCCTGAACACTTTCATAAGGGCATTAGGTCTGGTAGAAATAATTTGAGGAAATCGGAAGGTACAATAGACCACCGGTCTCAGTGCATATCCTTTTTACTAATCTATCTATCTATCTATCTATCTACCATACTTCCATCCGTTACTTAAAAATGTCACTATACCTTTGAAACGAAGTCATGTTGTTACAAAAAAACTGCTCCCTCACAATGATGAAAGAAATGACATTGGTTTTTATTCTAAATTCATTATGGCGTAATTAGAGTGTGAAACTACCTCCGTACATCACCTTTTCTTATTGTATCATGAGTTTCTTAGATGCTTTATTTACGGTGTTTTTACCCATAACGTCATATTTGAACAATTCTTTTGAATGGGGAGAATGTAAATATGAATGTGTTATTTATTATATATTATTTAAATGCTGTCAAAGCCACATAACTATCAATCCTCTTCATCTAAATTTAAGTAAAAACAGCTCAGAAAAAACAGAAAAACTTTGAAGTCTGAAAAAGAAGCGCACTTAAATAGACTTATTGCTTTGAGACCGAGTTTTTCTTAAAGATATTCACTCTGGCAATTGAAATGTCGTCTAGACATAACCCCAGTGCCTTTACCCGTTCTGAAAATAAGTAAAAATGTCTTGCAATCACCTTAGCAATATATTCTAACTTAATAAAGCACTGGATTTACCGATTCCATCTCTCACTATGCCGAAAGAGAGAAAAACTTATCTGAAATAAAATTTATATCAAAACAATGATTATAAAAAAGTCCTTCGCTTACGACCACATAACAAATGTTAATATTGCTTTTAATTTTTAATGCCTTATTTGGACTTGGATATTGGAGACCAGGAAGGCATTTGGATTGAAACAGGATGACATGTAACACTCTTCATTTTATATTTTACTAACAAGAAGCTTGCAGTTAAAGCCACGCAATTTATTTTAGAGCATAACCAAATATGGCTACCATTTAGGGAGTAATACTGTATAACTTTTTTATTGCGTTACATTCAAGCAACCAAAAAAGTATTAACTTCACTATTTGCCAACGATACCGATATTTTATGCAAGTTTGAAACTCTATAGAAAACCACTTAAAACTACATTAATTGACTTTTTGATCATCGTAGGGGAGTCATTTTTTGGAGGGATTCAAACCATTAACTACTTGGAGTGCGAGATCTATGGCCTGCGGGTTAGGGGTCCAAGAATTTTCCCGCGGTACGGCATGCCTATCGTCTATACCCGAACGACCCGGATTTTTATCCGCCCAAGGACTGTCACTCCCGCAACATTTCCCAAAAAGTACGTTAGGGAATATTTTTCCGGTTACAACAACAACAAGAACACTTAAAACTTGGACGTTAGCTTTCAAAACTATTTAAAAGCATTTATAAGCATGTATGTAAATAGAAACAAACCAAAATTAATTATAGAGTGAAACCTCAGGTCTAACCTTGGATCACAATATTTCTTTATACAATAACGTTATGTTATGCAATACTAATAATATACAAAGAAGTGACAAATACCTGGTGAAAATACCTATCAAAACTGCAAAATCATCCGAGTCATGCCCAACATTCCTAAGCCCCGCTCACACTTAGCGCTGTCCCGGCCACGATAGTTAAAACTATGCTTGGCCAGGGTTGGCAAAGAAGGTATTTTCAGCACAACTGTTGGAAAATTCATCATCCACGACGAAACATCCTAAATTGGGTTGAGACTGATCGACTTCGCCGGATCCCAAAATATGGTTGTGTGTAGTACTAGATTCCATAAGAAAATTTCCAAGCTACTTGGCTCTCTCCAGATCGAATATCTTACAACCGTATCGATCATGTTATGATAGACGGAAGGCATGTATCCAGTGTTTTAGATTTGCGTATGTCCCGAGGTCCTAACATCGACTCAGATCACTATGTTGTCACAGCGAAGATACGCACCCGCCTTGTGTATCAAAGTATGTTCCACAACAAACATAAGTAAAGTTCGACGACGAAAAGTTTGAATAAAAAAAAAGAAAGAAAAAAAAAACAGCCGAACGATTTTCTACCCAGATTGACACTTGTTTTTTGAGAGCACTCATCAGCATCTTGATATAAAGGAACTGTGTAACTCCCTACGTACTGCAGCAATGAAAACAATTGGTTTTCGGCAGTACCAGAAAAAGAGCTGATACGGAGAGGAATGTCGAACTGCAGTGGAAAGAAAACATTCTGCCTACCTCACTACCTTGTGATCGACCACAACACGTGTGGATGAGTAGAACCTCTTCTTTCGGGTGCAAGGTTTTATAAAGGAAAATTTCACAATTTTCAATAGACTATGAAGCAGCCCTCAAGTTAACATTAGCAAAGAGCTACCCATGTATATGTTAAATTCTAAGTAAATCGAACAATAAGTTCCACGTTTTCAATTAGGATTGTCTATGGTATACTTTAGAACATTCAATGACAAACTCAAGCACAAAAAATTCACATCTAAAAATATATATTCTAACAGATGAATTTAGAAAACTTACAAGTGTCTGCTGTCGATGTATCTGGTGTATCAGTGACATACTCGGCACTTATTTCATCTATTGGATTGGTGTAGCTGCAATAATAACAATTAGTAAAACCAGTTTAAAATAAACAAATGATTAACAATTTTACTTGGCAGACAAATTAGGTACATCATAATGATGTTCCGAAGCTCCGCAACTAATAATATGATCATTAGACATAAATCTGTGATCAGCGCTGGGGTAATCGTAATTGACATTGGCAGTCTCAATACTCATACCCTTCTTATTTATGCCCTGCACATAATCTGTATTCATATCTGTAGAAAATATTTAAAATGTACTTATTTTAAAAATGTTAGTAACGTTACTAAAAATATACCAGTCCTGGCCATATTATAATGAGAATTGATTGATAAATTTCTGCGGGCACAATAAATCAAAACGGCTCCGAAGGCAATACATACAGTGATGACAAAAGCTAAACCAAGATAAAGAGTCCAATCGAAACCTTAAAATGCGAAATGTTGCATCAATTTTGAATGCATAATATTAATATTTTTTAATATTACCATCATTTCCAATTAAACAATGCTCCCCGCGACATTCGGCAGTTTGAATGTCTTTCCCAGAGCACTGCACTTTCACCGACCCCAAACCATTATTGTTATTTATAGCAATGTGTACATCAATGTTTTCGCTTAAATCTTCCGTCACCGAAGAAATACATTTTCTTCGTCGTACTTGTATACATTTAGAAGAACATGCACTCCAATCGCTCCACGGCGTCCATTTACCCACTTAAAACGATGGTAATCATTAAATAAAATGTTTTGTACTTTTTTTTTTTGGTTCTTGATTAATATAGTATAACTCTTTCTTAAAATATGTATGTCTTTTATATATAAGTATCTATAAATGCAACTTACACTTCTTAGATGTTAATGTGTCAAAAACGTCAGAGTTTACAATCTGCGTCTCCTCTACGCAAGATGAATAGACAAGAATGTTAACATTTCTTTGATTTCATAATTTTATAAAAATAATACCTGGACAGGATATACAATCTGCAGACTTTTGAACTTGCGCACCAGAACATAGCGAGCCCCCATTTAAAGGGATTGGATTATTGCAAAAGCGGACTCTCTTTCGACCTTGGCTTAATTTTCCTAAGCACTTACATTCTCTCCAAGGACTCCATGAACTCCACCCACCATTTACTTAAAAAACATACAAATAAAAGTTATATATATTTTCCTCAAATTTTAATTCTACTATACATCTGCAACATATTTCTTACCATAAACTATCAAAACTGCTGAGTCTGATATTCTCTTACCGGCAACATTTTCCGCACAGCATGTATAATTCGCCATATCCTGAATTTTAAAAGCAAAAAGTTAGTATAAATAACAATTAAAGATGTGTCAGTCAAATCAGATGTATAATTATATTCATACCTGTAAAGAAACGGCATCGAAAGTGATAGTCATGTCGTCGGTGGATACCAGTATTCCATGATCATTGTCTTTTTGAATAGGCGAGTTATTTTTAAACCACGTTATCTTTGGCTCAGGATATCCTCCTGGAGGTTCGCAGTGTAATTCTGCTTTCGTACCCAGTTCAACTTTGAGGGACGTGGGGGAGGTCGCAAAATGTTTCCGTACATCTTCAAATATGAAATAGAATTATTAAAAGTATTAAACCATCAGATATTTTGTTTGTTTTAATTGAATTGATGATTTTTTTATTCACAATAAGATATCCGTTGAATACGAAAACTTACAAGCAATGCTAATTGTAGCTGATTGACTTTTAGCAACCCCTCGTGAGGACCAAGCGTGACATTCACATTTAAAGGGACCTTTACCAAAATATTCATCGACTAAATCGCGGTGTATAGTAGCGGTTACTTCTTCAACATGTACCCCGGTATGAGGATCGACGTGCTTATCATGCGTGGAAGGGGGAGGTTGAGAACTACCACTGCATTTAAAGTTCAACTAAGGAAATGGAAATCATTGAATCAATTGAACCATATATTATTTCAATATAACATTTATATTTAGCTTACTTGTAGGGCGTGTGCAGCCTTGCATTTGAGCACAGCTGGCCGATTCTTAACCACATACACATTCTCTGGTTCTGTTAAGAATATTGGTAAGGCGTTACCAGATTCCGCTGTATTAATTTTCTCTAATATGGGACCAGAAGATCGTTCCTCATACTCAATATTTGGTAAATCTTCATTGTTATTGGTAACATTTATATCTTCACTCGAGTGGATTTCACTTTTCTCGTGGTTTGACGTTTCTATGGATACTTTTTCTTTCCGGTGTACGGGTTCCGTAACAAAAGTCGGCCTTTCGTTGCCATGGAATGTAATATCTGAATCTATAGGAAATTCTACACTGTCCACATCGAAGCCGCCGAGAAAAGTTCGTGCGGATATTGATGGCTTTTGTTGTGTGCTATTCAAAGTACTATTGAGTTGACTTCTTAAATGCTTATTAATGGTATCTGTAAGGGGTAAGTTGTGATTTCGTTGTTCTAGACTTAATTCAGTTGTATGCTGTAGGTTAGCTTCAACATCAAATTTAAAAGTAACGATGAAAGCTATGAGTATATAGCACTTTCTAAGTTTCATTATTACTAGTTTGTGTCCGACTGTTTCCCGATTTCCAGCTATTGACGTAAATCTGAAAATATACTAGTATAAACATTTGTAGTGAGTAGTTGAGAATTTAGAATAATCGCTTACAATATATTTAACCGCTAAATTATATTGTGATTAAGTATATTTCTAGAATCAAACCTGTTGGCCGTAGTTATTTTCGTAATTCTTTGTAGTCAGGAAATAATGCAATTAATAAACAGCGAATCGCTCGCTTATTTACATAAGTACATATGTACGTTTAAAAATAATTTAGACATTACATACATATACAGAGTTATCCATTTTGCGGTTTCGAAAATTAACGAAAATAAAATACATTTAAAATAATTTTTTCATAAAATTCCTTTTTTTAGTATAAAGTTTGAACTTTGGCATTAGATGCGAAATACTCTTGATATCATTCATCCGACCGCCTAGCCAATTTTCGAAAACTGCGAACTTGATGAATGGTGTATAGCCAAGATCTAGCGCGTAGCACCACAAAAAAGTCCAACGATATCAAATCACGCGACTTCGGTGGCCAATTGACATTATCAAGATGAGAAATTACGCGGTCAAGAGTTTCTCTTGCAATAAAGCCATATTCGCTGTTGAGCAAGTCTTGATCTTCAATTGTAGGCGAAAAAAGTTAATCCAAAGTACACCATAATGCGCCATAAGAAAGCTCTAGAAAGCTTCGAAGAACATTGTGCGGTTGTTAAATGATCTATTTTCTTAAATGCCTGATTTTTAATTAAAACAAAACATGTTTGGTTTGACAGTTGAGTTTGAAATGTCAAAATATAGCCCTGTACTTTTGAAACCACGAAGTGGATAACTCTATATATAAATACATACATACACATACATACATATATGTATATATAAAAATGGCATGCATGTGAGTAGTCACAAATTATTAATTCAAGTCATACACAAGCCTCTTCCAGATAAGTTAATAATTATATGCAGAATTACAAATACTTATATTATATATTATATACATACTTAATAACTAATGCATGAGCAGTGGATAAATGCAGGTTTGTTTTGTGCGTGCACTGTACAAAAATATATTCGTATTACATGTAAATAAATATGTATGTGTGCTCATTGAAGATAATCCACCGTACATAGACCTACTACAGCAATAATGCAAATGAAGAAGTGAATTTTGACTGAATTCTTTGTAATATTTCTCTTAATTGGCGTAGGCATCGCTCATGCGGTTATAGCCGAGTTAACTATAGCACGCAAATTATTTCTTTCTTTTGGATCTAAGCTAGGCCCACCTGGTTTCAATTACTTTCAGAGTAGAAGTGAATGGGACATACCTGTTTAGTATATTTTTTAATTAATTAGACTTTACCGCCTTTCCTAATCTGCATGAATCATATATATAGCCGAGCAAAGTTCTGTGCGCTCATTAAGCGATTAACTTTATTGTTTGTGTATTAAAAATATAATATTAAATATATATAAATCTGTAGCTCGTTTTATTTTTACCAGCCTTAGGTTAAAGAAGTCACCACGTGATCTTTGAAATCTCAGACTCATAGATATTCTCACTATTTTTGACTGGAATTCTAGTACATATCTAAATCGGACTACGCAGCTAAATTGAGGAAAAGCCTTATAAGCAGCATGGCAATTGAAGATTGCATGAATGGTCAATTTCCCATAGTCTATAAATCGTCAACAATTGTATGTAAATTCGAAAAATAACTAAAATATCAGTTGGGGCTCAACTTCAAGTGTCTACCTATCCTATGAACTTGTAATTTTTTTCTAATTATTTGGAAGTGAGGGATGTGACAATAAATGTTTGTTGTCACATCCTTGGAATGTACATTATCTACGGATGTTGGCAACTTTTAGTAAATACTTCAAAAGTATTAGAGTTCGATTATTATTTATAAATATGTATATGTATATATTTAACACTAATTTATTATTCCTCTTCATAAGGCCCTTCTTACCTCAGCTATGATTGGCGTTTTGTAACCGCTGAAGCGATTTTCCGCCGAGGTCTTTGCGCCTCCGAACGGCTGATGGTTGTTTTTATGAGGATCTTTATTTCATGTCAAAAATACATCCGGAGGGTCCCTGCTGAAAGGGTGACCGCAAATTTTAGCTTAATTTTTTATTTAAATTAGTTTTCTATAACTTTTGGATGTTGGTCGCACGAAGCTTTGAACCCATTTATCCGAGCCTTCTGAATGGCAGTACGCAATGCTAACCATTCGGCCACCGCGGCCGCCAATATGTATAGCATAATAAAATAATTTAGATATAATCATATCTATGTACATATCAAACTTAATGGAATGGCAAGAAAAATCGATTTGGCCATGTCTGTAAGTGATCAGCCGTGTGCACCAGCTGTTGAACACCTGCGCGACGTTTGATTTTTCCAAGAAATATGTTCTGGGTCCCCGCAAAGTGGTGTCTTCTCTCCACGGTTATTTAATTTTTATATTATTTTCCCAAGCAACGTCCACCACCAGAGGGCGCATCCCAGATCACTTATGCAGATTGCTACCTGATATTACTGTCTGGTGAGGGCATTGTTAATCTTTATTCAAAAGTAAACTGTCTATATGTAAACATATATCCCGCATACAATGGAACTTCTCACGACGCTGACCACTTCTTTGCATTCACTTTGAAACCCACTCATCGAACCCCCCTTCCTTTGCTTTTTATACGAGCCGGTCAAAACAACTATTTTCTCAAGGACTCATTCAGCCTCACCTGTACCTAATAGTGGTTGTATAGCCCAAACAAGAATAACTGCAGCCACTAATTGGAGGAAGGAATACTGGCTTGAATTAAATGGAAAATTCAATGATGCTAAAATTTGACAGCATAAAACTACGCGTTACTGGAAGTCACAAAATACACTTTTTCATTCCGTATATGACTGCAATTGTTATCAAAGTAGCCGGGAGCACCTGTAGGATGGACAAGGAAACGTCGTTGCAACTCATAAGGATTTTTGGCTGACTGCGGGAAAATATTTTAACCCCTCCCTCGTAGGTGCAAAATTTTCTGATAGTTTTTGCGTATAACTCTAAAAGAGTACGAGCCGTAGAATGACATATCAGTTTTGTATAATGTGAAACAACTAAGCTACATCCATTTTTAAGACATTTTAAAAGCTCATTTGATTCAGCTTTTAGTTATTTATGTACATCAAACATATTAATTTTATGAAATTATTTAATTTGACCAAAAGCTTTAAAAAAAAATTTCTTGTTAGAACTAAAATACATGTATGTATGTAGTCGCATTTCATGATTGCACACATGCACGCATGAACCATACCTATTGTATATGCACATATTATACGATTTCTACTAGATTTAAAAAAAAAACTGAGCAGAGTTGCATATTTTTTTACCAAATCAAAATTTTTTATTTCTTTTCTTTTTTTCCTTCTGAACTAACTTTCAAATTGTATATACATATAAAAATTGTTGTAAATGCTCTCTAAATATAATATATATATATAAATATATTCTGACAATATAAGTCTTACATACATATGTGGTTAAGAAAATCGTGATATGCTTTATTGAATTTTTGATGACATCTAATTTAGTCAATATGTGTTGACCCATTTTGGAACTCTTTATGGAACCGTATGCCCAGAACCTTTATATTTTTTGATTTCAAATCCAATTAGGTTGGATTGTTCACCGGATGGAACATTAATTTACAAACACATTTAATTACAATAGCACAAACAAATGCATACACACGTATTTATATGCATGTGGATACATTTTTAAGCATGCACATAAATGATCGGTATATTTCCTGGCGAAAAGTGAACAGATCTATGACTTCTTATTTTAACCATCCAATTATCAGAAATAAATAGTCTTAGAAATGTAATATAAGTAATATATGTATACTTATATACACATCTACACATGCATAAATTAATTAAATAGCTTTGTTATTCTTACTTCATTTACTATAAATTCTTCAACTATTTTGTATTATTTTGTTACATTGCGCTGTATATTTAACCATCCAAAACATGTCTCACATTAAAGCAACAGTAGCGCGCCTCGGGTATTATATTTACTGTTCATAAATTAAGGGTGCTGTCCGCTTTGCATTCTCCTTTGCTATGATATCAGCATACAGACAAAGATGTACAAGTATTGAATTCATATGTATCATTATTGACTGTTTCTCACAATGTTCTGAATTGTTGTTGACTCAAAATTTATACGAAATAATCATTTTTCGTAATTCAAATCTCGTCAGGATTCAGTCAATATTTAATTTTCAATACTTTATCACTTCTGTAGTTGTGTATAAAACCACATAGCATACATTCATTTCAGAGCATACATAAGTACGTCTAAACAAAATAAATTGCAAACATTAACGGGAACTTCTCTACTTGAATTTGCAACGTTTCTAACTTCACTTTTTAATTTTAACACAAAATATTTTCTTTTTTGTTATTCAATATTTAACCAATATTATTATTTGGACCATTACAACAAATTATAAATACACAACTTCATCGCGGATAGATTAGGAGCAGCATCTGACTGAAGTTACGTACACCAAACGTAACACAAACGTAAAACATTACGTGCTGAATTAGAGATGTGCATAATGTTACATTTCGATAAAAGATAAAGTTGTCTCACATTACGTCCCTGCAAGAAGGCTTACCATCATTTCAGCCAACATATGTCAAAAAAATTTTCCCTACATATATACACACATGCATACAAACATTATTAAGATTCAGTCTTTATTTCAATATTTTACATAAATACATGTTTACATAGCATACAAAAGAAATAATACAACAATAAATTCGTTTTCAAAAATCATTCATCCTACGCCATAATCGCTGATCCTTTGTATAAAGATGCCTAAGTAAAATAAAAAAATTAATATTTGAATCAGAATGTTATCAATATCCAAACGCGGTTATACTTCTCACAGTTTTATTGAATATTTTTAAACCTGCTGTTGCTGCAAAGTGAGAAGCGTCAATCTACTCCATTAGCTGAGTTTTCCGTACAATATGCAGTGACCTTAAATACAGAAATGTAAAAAAGTGATGAAAAATTAAGTACTTAATTAATCCGAAATATATTATTACCATACCTTGCACAGGATCCGCATAATATATTTTTCATTCTATCTACTGCGGAGAAAACGATAAAAAAATGGCATTCTACTCGAAAATAAGAACAAAGAAAATCGGATAATCGGTTCAACTGCATTCTCTTTCAGTTTGTATGTACTCAGAAGAGAAAGATAAACAGAACAACTTGCTTATGTGTTAGTGTTGCCCGAAATCGTGTGAGTGTGTGGGTGGACCCATCAACCCATTCTTGCAGGGGTAACTTGCTCTTGCAAAATAATCAAAATATTTACCAAGTGCATTTTGGGAATGTTGCTGGAGCGACAGTTCTTGGCCGAATAAAAATCCGGGTCCATCCAATAAAAACGCCTTACTGTCGTCGATACTCTTCGAATTTAGACGTCTCTTTCTACAGGCATTCCTGTTGGTCACTTGTCCCTAAATGTATCAATAAGTTGGGGTCGGCTTCGGAATAATTTGCCACGCTTTGGAACAAATTTCCTCTTGGGGGGTTAGAGGATCAAAAAAATTTATGTATAATATAGCTAACTTATAGTTTTGGAGAAATTTGTTGTTGAAGTTCCCAAATAAAAGCTAATATAATCACACGGAACCCTTAAATATCACTTATATTAATGGCTAATAACGTTGTCCATTCAAACCGCATGACAGCTAGTTACAGATTACAAGAACATTTAAAAGTAATAGAAAAGTGGCTAACAACTTGGAGAATTAAAGTCAATGAGTCTAAGTGTGTACAAGTAACATTTACCCTAAAAATGGAAATACAATTTCACAGAAAGAATTTGTTACCTAGCTGGGAGTTATTTTGGATAAAATAGACAAAAAGATTACTCAAACCAAATTGAAAATTGCGAACTTTCACTGGATTGTAGGCTCTGAGTCCAAACTAAGTCTAGAAAACAAAGTTTTAATTTTTAATATGCTTATAAAGTCATCTTGGACGTACGGGGTCCAAATTTGGGGCTTAGCATCTAAATCTAGCCTAGAAAGAATTCAAAGACTGCAGTCTAAGATCAATATGCAAAGCCCCTTGGTATGTAAAAAACTCCACAATTCAAAACGATCTCGGGATATTACTCATTAAGGTTATCTAACCACCCAAACTTTCTAGCTAAAAAATTATTACAGCAGAACAACCCTAAGCGATTAAAGAGAAAGGATTTACATTAGAACTGTGACTAAGGGCTCTGTCGCATCCAACTATTTCACATCGAAGGTGCGCTAAGCATATATCCTTCGTGATATTATAATTTACTTCAAATTATCGTTTATGATATATTTTTTGGTAAAATTTAAACATGAGCGTTTGGTATCCCTAATGATATCTATGTAATAAACACATTCGTTGATAAATCTAAGTTATATTCGTAATTTATTGTACTTTGCTTACTGTATTAATCTATACAGTGGTAATGATTAACTTGTTCTAGGAATAAGAATTAGGTTTAAGGTTTTCGAAATTATTGTTGGACAGATTCAATGAAATTTCCCTTAAGGATACTGTAAAAGGCGAAGCCGGTGTTGTCCGTCCCAGAGTTACAATCAAAAGCTCTGCCAAAGGCCGCTAACTTACAAAGAAGTTTTACATAAGATTACTTTGCAAGGCGAAGCCGGTTTTGGTCCGGCCCAGGGTTATTTTTTTTTTTTTTTAAATGCACGTATGACGTATTTTGATTTTATGTAAATCACTTATCAAAAATAAATCAGATTGTGTTGTCGTTGTACATTCATTCCGTTGCAATGTATGATCTTACTCTTGACCCAAACTTTCTAGCTAAAAAATTATTACAGCAGAACTACCCTAAGCGATTAAAGAGAAAGGATTTACATTAGAACTGTGACTAAGGGCTCTGTCGCATCCAACTATTTCACGTCGAAGGTGCGCTAAGCATATATCCTTCGTGATATTATAATTTACTTCAAATGACGTGTGGCAGCACGGTTTGTCCTAATTGTAGGGGACACTTATACGTTATTTTATTTAGTATAGTAACCAAACGTGAGAATGATGGAAACTATTAATAGTATGAATAAATTGACTAAATAAAATCGTTTTTCACGTTTTCGGGCGTTATTATAAGCGATATTTAAGTGTTCCGTGTGATTATATTAGATTTTATTCGGGTATTTCGGTTGGTCAAAATTTTAACATTAACGACAAATTATTCGAAAACTATACGTTACCTCTGGGAACGACATATATTTTTGTATGAAAACTATAATGCCACCAATTCTTCTGTTCAAACGTTAAATTTGTTGTTTAAATATCAATTGCAGCATTAGCCATTTTTGAGTAACTTTCTTGAATTTTTCAGCAATTTGAAAATGTTAATTCCACGAATCCTTCGAGTTCGATAAATATAATGTTAATTAAAAAACCCTCAGATTGTTTTTCGAAGGAATTTACTCAAATAATAACAATTCGATTCCTACATCAACGACTTATTTTACAACTATCACAGAATATTATTTTCACCTTACAGCGTTGTAGTCGCCAACGAGTTCGCTATGAAACTGACATAGAAGCCGCGCGTGCTTCACTCTGTCTTAACCAAGTCCGTACGAAATGTTCCCGATGACGAGCATGTGGTTGACGCATTCTAAACATGCCATAGCTATCAGTATTGTTCTTTCATTTGTCAATCGTATTTGGCATTTTGGTCACACTGTCTTCCACACATTTGATCATGTTTCTCGGTTTCCCAGCGGTCTCGATTCGATACACTACGTTGCTTCGCTATTTGAGTGCCCCTTAGATACCCTCCGATTTAGCCTAAAGTTTGGGACAAACTTCTTACGTGGTGAATTGTATAGCAACACCAAATCTCTACCTTGGAGGCCCTCGGAGTTCATAACTTTATCAATCCATCAAGCTAGGTGCACTTCAGGACAAAAAAAGGGAACTGTCTTTTCCTGTCCATCAATTTCTGGTGAAAATACATCTCCTACGGCATGACATGAAGAACGAGTATATTAAGAACTGAACTAAAGAGATGTCTATATTCGCCCTCAAGGTTCAATACCAACGCATCGCAATACCGTGAGCGAAGGTGTACACTTTGTCTAGATTCTTATTCGGAACTTACTAATGCCATTTCAGACGAGTCAGAAGTTGTAACAAATATTCGTAGATGCTGAGCTTTTATACCCTTTTATCAGCGTCGCCAAGTCATTGGGAGTCCAACGGTTATCCTAACCGACACAAGGAGTGTAGAGATTTAAAACTCCTCAGCTACAGATAAACAAATTCATCACCTGAAATATACGATTGATCAAGCTATTAACGAGATTTTATTGAGTTGTTTATTAAGGGAGGTTGGTATAGAATTTTTCATTACGAAAAGTAAGTCTGTTAAAGGAAACGCGCTGGAATAACAATTGAAATCTTGACATATACGACGAAATGGTTCATATAGTTCAAAACTTGTTTTACTAGATTTGAAATACGTGTATAATATCTAAACTGTCTTGATAGTCGGATAGGGACATTAAAATTTACTTCACCTAAAAGAAATTAACTGCAAATCAGTCCATTTAGAAGTTTTACTAGCATTACTTTACGGCCAGAAAGTGAAGGCAGATTTATAAGTTTAGTTTTTCACGGTGGAGGTGACGTAAAGCAAACAGCAAAATTCAATCCAATCTGTATGGACTTTATAATTAGAATTCCACACCACTGGTTGCACTTATAACGTTAAAAATATTTTGATAATGTAAAAGTCTTTAAATTCTTTTGATCATCGCTATATAAAAGAAAGGGCGTCTTTAGCTTTCAGCAAAGTAAAATTAATATGCAGATTAAAATTAAGTCTAGTGCCCATTATTACAAAATGACATACATGTTGTCGAAAATGTTGGTATATTGAGTAAGATGGCATATCATTGTTATTGCACCAAATTACTAATTATTTAAATTGGTTTGTAAATAACAACTTTCGCCAATTTAAGTATATGATTTAAAAAGCTTTACATCATCTGCGTACAGTAAAATTGCCGCATATTTTATGATCGAAGACAAATCATTAATAAAAAATCCTGAAAGAACGTGCTGATGGTTCAGAAATTCTCTCACACGATTTTGGACAGCACTAACCTACAAGCAGAAAATCTTTTTTTATCTTGAGCGGATAATCCATTTTATGTTATGTTTATGTTTTCTAGTAGAACGTCATTTTTATCGTTTTCTCCGTGGTTGTGTTAATAATAGAATATATTGTCGATTAATTAACCACTTTGTTTTTCATTACTCTTTACATTGTTTTTATTTAAGCAAACTACATATTGTACGGAAAGTTCTGTTAATGAACCAGGTTGATTGGTATGGAAGCTTTTCATCTTGCAGCAGTAGCAGATTTGCAAGTATTCGACAAAACTTTGCAAGGTACAACTGCATTTAGACATTAATAACATTATGATTCAAACATCATTTTTTTTATATAAAAAACTGAAGTAAATACTGAA